TTCTTCTCTGACCTTTATTATTTCTTTTTTTTCTGGTAGCTTTTGGCTTCTTTTGTGGTTTGTCCAAGCTTGTGGTTTAAATTAATGATTTTGGATCTTCTTTTTTAATAGAGGTATTTGTTGCTATGAATTTCCCTCTGAGTACTGCTTTTGCCTATCTCAAAGGTTTTGAAATCTTGTGTTTTCATTTTCATTTGATTCAAAAAATTTTTAAATTTCATTTTTTATTTCTTCTATGACCCTATAGTTTTTTTAGTACATATTATTTAGTTTCTATGTATTTTGCTTTGTTTTGCTTATTTTCCCTGTTTATTTCTGGCTTCATAACATTATGGTCAGGAGAGATTCTTTGTATGATTTCAATGTTGTTAAACATGTTGAGACTTGTTTATGTCTTAGCATATGATCTATTCTGGAAAATAATCTATGTGCACTGGAGAAGAATATGTATTGTTTTGATGCTGCGTGGAGTGTCCTATGCATGTCCATTAGGTCCAATTGGCTTATCGTTTTATTTAAGTTTTCAATGTCCTTGTTATTGTTGTTGTTATGTGCCATCAAGTCGGACCCGACTCATAGCGACCCCTCCTTGGGTTTCCAAGGCAGTGGCACTACAGAAAGTAGATTGCCCCATCTTCCTTCTGAGGAGTGGCTGTTGTTAGGTGCCATCAAATCAGTTCTGACTCTTGACTGTGTACAACAGAATGAAACACTTCTTGGTCCTGTACCATCTTCCCAATCATTGGTATGTTTGAGCCCATCGTTATAGCCCCTGTTTCAATCCATCTTATTGAGGAACTTCCAACACCACAGAACAACAAACAGACATACAAGTGTGGGCAATGTCCTTAGGGGTCTTCTTTTTAGATGTTCTGTCTATAACTGAAAGTGGTATACTAAAGTCCCCTATTATTGTGGAATTGTCTATTTCTCCTTTCATATTAGTCATTATTTGTTTTTTTGTGTGTGTTTTGGAGCATTGCTGTTAGGTGCATATATATATATATATTTATAATTATTGTGTATCCTTGCTCTATTGACTCTTATTATTATGTAATGTTTTTCTTTGTCTCTTGCAATAGATTTTTTATTTAAAATGTTTTATCTGATATTAATATGGTCACAACTACTCCTTTTTGTTTACTGGTTGCATGGAATATTTTTCCCCACCCTTTTATTTTCAATCTGTTTGTGTTCTTACATCTAAGGTGTTTTTTTTTTTTAGGATTTGGGTGAAGATTTACAGAGTAAATTCACTTTTCATACAGCAGTTCACATATACTTTGTCTCATGT